TTTACAACACACTTATGAACCGCCAGCCTACACGAGGACTCATAAGTCGCATTAAATTGCTCATTCCACACTATCGACTGATGACAATTTGATAAATGCGTATAGCCTTATATGATACCAAAGCGATTCTGCTTTTGGTGAATTTTGATTTTACATTATTACTTTCTATTTATGTTTTTAAGTTCATATTTAGACAATTTAAAGCAGTTAATCAATATTATAGCCGTATTAGAAATGCTAAGTATACCTGTGTAAATAAATAACACAGCGTCATCTAGTCCTAAGCTAAGCAGAGCTTGTGTCATGAGTACTAGAGATATTTTTTTATAAATACATAATATGCATAGAAAATACGCAGGCTGAACAAACGATCATACCCATTAATACACATTACACTACAAATTTGTATCGTGCGAGGTATTGAATCCGCGACTATCGGTAGTAAAACGTTATGCTATACCGCTAGTCCATCGAGGCCGTCTATCTAGGAATCATTACCACTTACCATCAATTTGATAGTCAGATTATTTGCAATTCCAAATAGATTTGTAATTAGTCCTCATAGTAAAATACTTTATAAAACATAAAATATAGTACCGTATTTTAATGTGTATAATATGATATCCTTTGCAAATCTGAAGGAAATTATAAAAATTGTATTATATATTCACAACTTCCTGGAAATATTAATTGAATTTCAAAGCACGATAACGCCTATCTTCTATATTTATTCATCAAGTAAGTGAATAGTCATAATGAAAGTAAGGAATACATCATACAAATAATCGACTTTTGTTAAGAAATTACCAATTATGTGATATTGTGCACGTATTGGAGAATGAAAGGAAATGAAGACAAGGCCATTAGCCTATTGTAGCATATTTACTAGGAATTAATCCAGACCTCGATCAGACCAGACCCTATCGTCTTCCTCGTGTACCTTACAATGCTTATATTAGTTATGGGGATTAGTGCCATTACTAATCCCCATTACCATCAATCTCTTCAACAAACAAATGAACAAATGAAAAATGTATGTGCCATATGCATATGTATACGTTGTTGTTCAATCCAACTGATATCGGAACGGCTTATTACGTAAATAGCCATCCCTTTCCGGTGCATTAAAAGCAAATGTATAATTAGAACGAAGAACATAGATGGTGTTATTTTCCTTGTATTACATTTTCCTGTTTAAAACACAGACCTAAATCCAAATTACATGTTAACAGCTTTCCTGACCTATATTTATGTAACGTTCTAAAATAAGCAGTCACTTTGTGATATTATCCATTTGCACATTTGTGGTCAAATGTAGAGATATTTACATTGAATAAGTAACAAAGCTGATTTATTCCTAGACTGGAATTTTGGGCCGCATTCTGCCGTAATAAAGGAGGAATTAAGGACACATAAAAGAAGTACTGTGACACTCAGTTCTCTCTACCTATACCGTGAAATTAGTTTGAGAATACATATTTTAAAAATAGCAAATCAAATATATTCACAAAGCGAGAGACAGGACGTGTTATATTACAAACTATGTATATTATACTTCCTGGCTCTCTGTGTTTCAACGAGAATCGACACCACACAACTACCAAGCAGTGACCGATTGTCTAGACGAGATAATTCTTACCTTACCGTACCTATTTGGCACTTCTCCAATTGGCTGCACTCACTTTTCTGGCGATTCTAAGTCACATAATCGAGGATCAGGAGTAACAGAAACAAAAGAGTACATTAATTTTAATTCTTACAATTAATGTGCTGTTCTTAATATAATAAAGATGTACCACTATATAAAATCCATATCATATCACTTCAGCGACATAAAATGTATATTATATTCATAGACTAAACTTTATATAAATAATGTTTAAGTTCTGATACTCAGCTTTGAGTACTATATTGTTAATATTACTTAACAATTTGTTCTTTTAGTGCCTATTTATATTACCTATAGGTAGTAAATACACAAAATTATAGATGTGTTTTTTAAGTTTCTTTGTACGACGCTAAATGTTTTAAAGTTGGCAACCCAGCAACTTTGTGCATTTAATACCTAATAATAAATAAACACACCAAATTATAAATAATAGCGTTTTTGTATCAAAAATTTTGATAGTTGCTAGAGCTTTATACGTGATAGATCGGTTTCAGTGCTTTAATTATTGTACTTTGCTTCTAATATATCTAATAATGTATGTATGCCATTCTACCATTCATAATAAATAAAATAAACGATCTATTTAATAAATTTGACAGTCCCAACTGCTAAATATTAATTTGTAATTACAGGATAAAGAACTAAAAACTATACTTGAAAGAGATCGGTAATAAGCAAAACACAAATATTGTAAGGTAAACGAACTATGTGTCATACATACTCTTGCCTTTAGAAAACTTGGTGAGTCAACCTCGTCTCGATCATAATACCCATCAGAAATCACGTTACCTCACTAATTTATTACTAATCACATAATGTAGGGTTTGCAAATATCTTAATTGTTGACATTAGACCTACTATAGACGGAGATATAATTCTCATAGGAACGAATAAGTTTTTCCATTATTGTCAATATTTACCTACTGATAATTATTTACTTCATCCCTTCCCATAAATTTTGATAGGTAGTTTATTATTCGACGAGTATTTACATCTTTAATTTTAAGTTTTCGTTTAATAGAGTGAATCCTGCCGAAATGAAAATTGAAATGGACGAGACGGTGTCGCTATTTCAGTTTTATATAAATTACAGGAGCTGTTATTTTTATCTTTTCTATAATGTAATATATATTATATATGACGGCCTTGGTGATCTAGCGGTTTAGCACATCGCTTTACTTCCGATGGTCGCGGGTTCCATTCCTCGCACAGCACAAACATTTAATTTTGTGTTAATGAGTATGACTGTTTGTATCGGTCTGGGTGTTTTCTATGTATAATATGTATGTATTTATGAAAAAAATATTTCTATGTATTTGTATCAGTTATCTAGCACCCGTAACACAAGCTTTAGCTAGCCTAACTTGGGACTAGATGGCGCTGTGTGAATTGTCCTGAGATTATTATTGTTTATGTATATATTTTATATATCTCCCTTTAATGGAGTGTTAAACTTATTATTAATATATAAGTATTTTATATCGAAGCTAAATCTTGTAAAATATAATAAATACAGATATTTAATATAATAATATTTCCTATGCATATTTTCTTTAAATTATTATTGAAAAAAGTTAGTGTTGCGATTTGTAGCTACGTCTAAATACCCGGAACCCTAATAGATCACCTCTTTAAATTACGTCAGTACGAATGAAAACTGTGCCAACGCAAATACATAAACAATAATTGAATAAACAATGCGTCAGAAAATAGTACAGGTTCGTACATGCCAGTTTTTAATTAGTGAAGTCAAAACATAACATAATTTCCTTACTGTGAACAAAAAAATGGCAGTAATTACTTCGTTGCCTGTATTTTCTTATATACATATTACGATAGCGTTAAACTTAAACCTAGTATATAAAATATATTTATTTATTCAGGTAGACTTTGTAAAATTCGTATTCGTGGGTAGTATAGTTCTTCCTATATGAGCCGTCAATCAGCTTTAATAAAAGTAAACTTTATTAACTACATTCGTTTGCGTGAGATAAAGTAGTGAAATTACGGGATAAGAAGTCCTCAGAAATATTAACGCAGTGGTATCACGGGCTTTAAATAATAAAATGATGTCCGTGCGCTGTTCATGTATATAGGCTACGATAACCACTTAGCATCAGGCCGTGTCAGCTTGTTTACAATGATAATTATATAGAAAAAACATATTGTTACTAGTAGACTATTAAATAGTAAATAATTGTTAACACTATCAAATAATAGTGTTAACAAATAGCTTTACTTCGTAAAAATAAGGTGAACGCTTAAAAATCCGTCACTATTCATGGACAGAACGGGTACTATACAAATATTATATATAGATTTAGTCTATAGTACCTGTATCTGTAACACAGGTTTGGAGTTTAGTCTCCAAACTCTCACAAGGAATATAATTTATTTATTATAAACTACCTGTATGTAGGTTACGAATTCATTAAATAAACATATTTAAGTAATATTTATATCAAAAATAATTCGATAGCGTCTACTTATCTCAGATAACAAAATATTTACATATGACATATTACTTATATCTGTTTGCGTACTTATGTACGCGTATTACGTCAGTAATTAATTACAAATAGGTATGGAACTCTAAATTTTTCGTACATGTCTCTTTTATTTGTTAAACCCTTTATTTGTGCCCTATAATATATATTATAATTCTATGCTTATTAGGTTATTCCTAAACCTATTAATTATTATTACCTGTTATTATAACTGTCAAAAATTCTCTGTTACTTCTCCATATACTTCATCTAAGCCATGCAAAATATTATGATACGCATTTATAATTAGCTTAATTTGTGAAAATTTATGTCCTATCAGAATCAACCCATGCGAAGTTGGAATGAACGATTAACATATAGTAAATTCTTCTATTTGCTAATGAAAAGTGATTAAGATAATAAAACAACATCGAGTCTGCATATAACATTTTATGATAACGCATTCTATTCAAATTAGTCATATCGCATAGTTGGGGCTCTTTCTAATAGCGGTATTTTCTAGCTAATATTGAATTTCCAAAGACAAAAGAGTTATAACTTTAACGTATCTACCTATGCATCTGTCTAGCATCAAGACTTCAAACCGATCTACCGATTTGATGCTTTTTTATTTTAAAAGCGTGACCGAGGTTCTTACCGATTTATAAGGATCTGTTAAGCATTCGAAGACTATCAGCTTAATTTAGTGTTAACGATCTGTGTTTTTAGAGTTTTATATTTTTTCATTTATAAAAATAATTTTAATGTATTATTTATATTCATGATTGTACACTGACAGGATAAATACGGGATTTACTTATTTAAATATTATTCCTTTGTTTTAGGTACGTTCGGAAGAATCATTGCTTTCTGCGGACAATACAACGAAGAGTGCACGATGGGTATGTTGTCTTGGTATTTTAGGTGGTGGGTAAAGTTAATACCTATAATAATAATAATATCAGAATAATTCACACAAGGCTATTAGTCCCAAGCTAAGCTTGTGTTATGGGTACTAGACAACTGATATATGGCAAATACATAGATACAAACAATCATACTTATGAATACAGATGTTTATAAAGTGTGAAGAAGCAAACCCGCGACCATCAAAAATAAAACGGTATGCTAAACCATTAGAGCACCTAGGCCGACGAATAAAAAATCAATATTGGTTCATCAGTAGATCCATAGACTAACCCTACAGCCTTTTTCTCTTTATAATATTACTACCTGTGTCAGCGGTTTCACCAGCATGAAGTTAATAGCCCACACATAGGCCATTCTTACGTATATGCTATACTACTGTAAAATTTCAACAAAATGTGTTCAGTAGTTCATTCATCCATCCATACTTACAATCTTTCGCGTTTATAATATTAGACTGTAGGTTAAGCCAAGATCTATTGTAATAGAAACCATGGCAACCGATGTTTGAATTTTTTAAGTATCTCCGCCATTAACTTTTCCATTATCACTGTGTTCTTTCTTTCGACACTAAAGAAACTATTTATCTTTCTGTGGCGTGACGTCGAGTGTCGTCGAGAATTTATTTCGTCCTTATGTTATCGAAAAAGATATTATTTAGATATATTTAATTTATGTAGGAGTAGGAGTATAATGTATAATGATAAAATATTGTAGTATTAATGGAAATTTAATTTATTCAAATTAAATGCAAATAATAACTATATATGCGATACCCAATCATTATACGCGAAGCAAAAAGTTTGTAACCCTTTTTACGATAATTGTGTAGTAGGAGGTGTATGAAATTACGCACACTTATAATTTATATAGGAAAGCAGTGTAGAATGATATATTTTTTTTATTATGCATAAAAAATACATTATCAATAAAAATAATCACACTCACTACTATATATTTGACGCATAGAAGTAATATTTGACAATAGAACCTTAATATCATTAAAACTTATCATTTAAATTAATTATAGTTGATTTTCGACCATTGGGCGACCACTAGTGTGATTAAACATTTAGATAACTGTCTTAAAACCGTGTATGTTTTGCTTGGATAGTTTCTATACAAATGAGTATTTTCACGGTCATGTGTTTCGGAAAGAAGCAATTTGCCAGTTTTTATGTTTTCATGGGTGAGTAACATGATGGTTGTGAAGCCACTACCGGCGCGTGCACAATGTACATACGTTGCGTCACTTGACAAACAAACCGCGAACGGCCATGATAAAGAATGTTTTTGTATATGTATTATAACCATTATGTATATGTGGCAAATGCAGGCCTTTATAATATAAACGTTTTTCCCTCAAAATACTTGGAGCATTTGCATTACATTTATTTTGATAGTGTTGTAATTGCATCTGAAGATGGTGTTTTGTTGCTGTTATCATAAAATCGGTGTTCCATTTCAAAGAAATATAGAGGTATTTAAATATTTCACTGTGTTTTACATATTCTTCACATTTGTTTACAATGGTGCACATATATTCTTGTATGTATTATTATTAAAGAAAATAATTACACCAAATTTCCCTTTATATATAATTTAACTGTCATGCGCTTCTTATTTCTTTGTATTCACTCACTTAAACTTAAATTGTAAGTAAGAATAAATTATTTAAAAGAGCAACACACAAGTTTTTTGCTTGTTCTTCTTGTGATGAGACAGCATTCCGAATGAGCGGTAGATTAAAAAAAAAAAAAATGTTATGACTATTCAAAAGTGCTTCAATGTAAGTTTATTTGAATAAATGATTTTCTATTCTATTCTATTCTATATATCTACATTATTTTGTTATAATCATAAAGTAGCGAACATGTTTCATATAATTCTAATACTCTTAGGTAGTTTTAAACTCTTGTTAATTCGTATTGAGTGGCCTTGATATTTACAGAAAATATATGTACCAAACTTAATAAATTACAAAATAACTGTACATTTTATAATGCATAGTGATAATAACTATACAGAGACGCCATCGCTCTCTATATATTATGCTAATCAGTACACTCTGGTTTTCCCCTTTTGTTACAATTCTCGATATTTTTTTCAACAAACGCTTGTTATTACGGACATGTACATACATGAACGTGAATATTTGAACAAGTCGTCTGTGGACTGTGGTAGACCGATCACGTATCGTAATGAACGAAAACCCTACCAAGTAATGTTATTTGTCTACAATATAATTTGCCATTCTTTTGAATGTTCAGCACTTTATTGAATGGTAACTTTTATATCACGCTATAAATATATATAAAATTTCATTACACACGTTTCAAACACATTCATACAAATTGCATATTAAATTTATGTGTAAAATTAAATTTTCATCTTATATTATTTTATCGTACATATGTATAATATAAAGCAAAGTGTTTAATCTGTTTACTTCTAAACTATAGTATAGTTTAGAATATATAGTTTAGTTTAGTGCATACAGGCCGTATGCATGTATTACACGAGTACACATAAAATTCTCTAAAGAACAGTATATGCTGTACACGCATGTGGAGTTTAGGTCACTAGTGTAATAATAAATTATAAAAAATATTTAGTATTACAGTAGGTGAGTTTAATGCGTAGCAATACGGCCTCCCTTTTTTTGCTACGACGTGTCTGTACATATTATTGGTACAACTGTATTTAATAAATAAATAAAATAAATATCCTTATACTGTCTTAGACTACTTTGTTTTTCTTGAAACAATATGTAGGTCAAGCCATTTATTGCGGACAATGATGTATTAGGCGAGTCATCTACACAGAGGTAGTAAACAATGTTTACTTAGGTACTAAATACCATTACCTATATAAGCATATACTGGTACTATTACAAGTAAATTAATTTGTTAATAATATTAAATATTAATTTAATATGACTAAATAAGAATATTTACCTGTAAATTTGGGACTTTAACAAATCAAATATCATGTAACTATTGATAAATACTCGTAAAAAAGATGTAGTAACGTCCTTTGTACACTCATTACTTCACAGTTTACTCCTTTGGAAGCAAATCATTTCTTCCTTTAATAATATTTTAGACTTACTTCCCATATAAATTAGTACATTACAGAATTAATCTGTATAAGATATAATAAGAAGATAATTATATAAGATATATAAAAATTACATGTCACGTTGTTTGTCCGCGATGGACTCCTAAACTACGGAACAGATTTTGATGAAACTTTACAGTAATATAGCTTATACATCAGATTAACACATAGGCTATATTTTTTATTGAAATTCTACGCGAGTGTAACTGCGGGCACATCTAGTACATACATAAGCTTAGAAAAGTTACAGGTATCAATAGGCTACGGAAAGCATTTACTATTATATTATGGGTCGTATGCTTACTTACCACTATCATAGTATAAATAAAAACCTTACCCCTGTAAAGGTTAGCGACTTGGCGTAAAGATAGATAGACAGACATGTATTATTTAATAGATTGAAAACTTAAACTGAATGTAGATGAGCTATTATATAATTAATGCGTTTTAAATTTAGTAAATATATTAATGTATGTAACATTTTAAAAAACGGATGTTGATACAGTAAAGAACTATATCAGATTAGTCATTTTAAACAGTTTCTTCAGTTTGTTTATGTTATCAGACTTATTAATTAAACATTTGCTAACTAATACTAGTAGGCACTTAACTAATTTCCATTATCTGTATTATATCGCACGTGAATTAAAGTTTATAAAATTATATTTAGTATACTAGCTGTTCCCGTGACTTCGTCCGCGTGGAATTTAACTTTATGTTGTAAAATAAAAGTAACCTAAGTTACTCCTTAAAACAGCAGCTACCTGCCAATAAAAGTCCCTTCAAAATCGGTCCTGCCATTTTAGAGATTAGCCGGAACAAACAGACAGACAGACAACAATTGTAAAAAATGTTTTGTTTTGTTTATGTACCGTATTTATATATATGCATGTAGGTAAAAAACGGTTATTTCAATATTACAAACAGACACTCCAATTTTATTTATAAGTTTAGATAACGAGTTATCAGAACTATACAAACATATCCTTTTTATCTTTTTCTTATTTTTATTGTACCTTGTGTAATCTTTTATGCAAATGAAATATCTATCTACCTATCTTCATTGTAATTATTGACAATTTAAAAGATTTATTGTTTTTATGGCGCTCTCAACTATTCAATAATGCGAGTACTCTAGGAAACACTTATCTGTGTGAAGGTTATATACATATATACACATAATAGACGTAATAGACATTGTCTATGGATGAACATTTTACTGTATTATCTCTATACGTAATTATTCGCGGATATAAGTAGATCTCTACTAGCGTATCAGTAAACAATCCAAAGGAAACGAGAGATTTGTTTTTATTTCATAAAATAAATCTTATACTTCTTATCATCATTGCCTTGCCTTTATCCCATTATTTGGGGTCGGCGCAGTATGTCATTCTCTTCCACTGATCTCTATTTATATGTAGTATTATATTATATCTATATATGTATTATTGCCTTACGAATTAAACTCTACAATTTTGTATTTCTTGTTCTCTACGGATGATTTTATAATAGCAATTGCGAAGCGCACAACTTAGCTCGCAACTGCTCTCAAATAGTTCAGAAAAATCGCATACCTAATGGAGAGCCTACTTCTGTAATAATTTTATTAACAATTCTCTATTGTAACAAATTAATTTAATCTTTACTACTTTCTTTAAAATTATAGAATAGAATAACAAACATGTGTATTCTATTTGAAGAAATTTTACAAATTACAAATTCATCCCCACACGCTGGAACCTAAGTGGTCCCGAACAGTGCGGTTTCAGAGGAGTTTCCTCCCGCGTACACTTAGATTGTGGAATGAACTTCCTGCCGAGGTTTTCCCACGAGACTACAGCATGGGGTTTTT